CTGAATTCTACTTAAATTTAATCATCCCCTCACAGTTACTACCTTGTATACCACTTGCCCTCTCCTTTTAGATTGTAAGCTCTCACAAGCAGGACCTCCTAGCTCTCGCCTTGAATTGCATTGTAACTATACAGTCTCTCTGTATAGTGTAAAGGTCTGTGCAAACTGTTTTCACTATAAAAATACTCTCTAATAATAATTTGTTGCCACTTATTGTTGTAAGAGTATATCTGATTTGTTGTTTTACGTTTTTGGTTTTGTTTTGTTTTTTTTTTTTATACTGTGGTGTTCCCATCCCCTCCCTTTCATGATAGGAAAATCCCCAGATGGCTTAATAGGCTTAGTGCATCCTCCTTGTCAAGTGATGCTAATGCAGAAGGACTTATCTCCTGCCATGATAACCGGCCTGCATCTCTCTCCACAGGTGGCAACGTGCGCAGAGCAGGGTTTACCTGAAGGTATCATCAGTCTGCGCCCTGTAATAGGCAAGTGAATGAATTCTTTAATTTCCATTTCTCTCATTTTTCTTTGCTGAGCTAAACATCACCATTCACCAACATCTTTATAGTAAGTGGAGATGCTACATAGGGTACAAGGCTAGTCTTGATTTTAGTTAGCTACGTTACATCCTCTTATTATTGTGTGACATTGTGATGTGCTGCTTTGTAACTTTTGCTTTCAGTCCCCTCCACCTGCATTCTTCATTTTAGAAGCTGTTACAATTAAGAGGTTTAAAACTATTTAAAGTGATGCCCCAGTTTTGTTAGAGGAAGAAAAAAAAAAACAATTCAATTCCAGGAAACTATGTTTGTTGAAAGGATTTAAAAATTATATTATTCTAGATAATTCACCTTTTCTGTACTGGGAACATTCATGGAAGGATTGCCTGCATTCCCGTCAGATTAAATTTTAGTATTTTTGATTAATGGCTTAGTTCACCTTTTTTGAATAAAATTGACTATGCAGCCAAAGGGCCCAATAGGTTAAAAATACATTATACAACTTAGAAAAAACTTTGTTTAGATTAAATCCATACCAGTAGGCCATAAAAAGTGACCCCGAAGCCTGGCCTAAAAACTCCCATTGCTGGCGATCAGCCCCATCCTGCTTAGAAGGTAGGGCACATTCTACTTTGAGGCTTATTCCCAACATAACAGCAGTGGGATCTCTTTCCTAAAACCATGCACAGTGCTGAGCTCAGTTGCTAAAGGGTGAGGGGAGCTCACCGCACATGTGTGGGTTTTTCAACTTTATTTGAAAGAATTGACATTTTATTGATTTTGTTTGCACATACTTACAAGCAGGGTGGATAAAAATCAATGATTTTTTAAAAAGAATTTTAAAAAAAAATCTGATTTTTTTTTTATTTAAATCTGATTTTTTTGATTTAAAATCGGATTTTTTTGAATAAAATGCTTTTTGAGGAAAATATATTACCATCCAAAGGTTGTTCCATCATGAAATAAAGATTAGTTTTTTTATTATGTAGAATAAGGCTGTATAGCTTTATTTTTTTTGGTAAATAAATGCCATTAATCCATTCACAATGTCATGCTCTTCCAGAGGTTTTTGTAAGATTATTGGGCAGTTTCTCTGCCTACAAGATATTATCACAGATGCTTGGTTTACTTTTGCAGATCTCAAAACTGAATTTGACTCACATGCCTCTTCTTCACAGCAAAAATGTTATAACATGAACAGAGTTAAGAAAAAGACCTTAATCCTAACTTCTACAAACCTATGAATACAGAATCAACCCCTTCAGTGCTAAGTTTCAAGAAGTTCAGTGAATAGAATAGAAACAATATTTTTCTGATTGTTTGGAGTGGAATTGATCTGCACAAGAAGAAAGTGAAACTAAGTGTGAGGAGGAAGGGGCTGACAGTCTAAGTTTATTAAAATATATATATTTTGTTTAGCCAAATTAGTTAACAAACATGGATGTTTAAGCAAATCACATATGCTGGAATGTTATTGTTTCAGATGAATAAATCTATTTAAATTGTTATTAAGGTAATGATTATTTTTCTCCTTCCTAAGTACAAAAAGTTGCCCAAATATAAAATGATTAACCTATTAAACTGGGGATAAAAAAACTAATATGAAAAGTTGTTGTTCTAAAAATCTTCATCTACTTGCATAATAAGGTTATACCAGCAAGAATTAGTCTATGTAGAAAACTAGGATTTAAATCAAGCCTTACTGACTAGTGATTTAAATTGTGATTTAAATCAAATCCACCTGCTTACAAGTGATTGTTAAGCTTTGTGGTGGTGTTTTTTTTTTTTCAAATTAAAATAACAGGCATGTCATACTTACATGCTCTGTTCAATGGATTTGCAAACATCCTCTTCTCAAATCCCCTGCCAGTGCTCCTGGCTCCTCCTCTTCATCCTGTGCCCCCATAGGTAGCTGCTTCCTATGGGTACACTCATGCCGACTCCCCCCTGAGCTCCGCTCCCTCGTCACAGAATTTGATTGACAGCAGCGGAAGCCAATGGCTCCCACTGTTGTCAGTCTGCCCTGTGAGGAGGTACAGAGCTGGGAGAGCTGCTGCTCCCGTGCACAGTACAAGACCACAATGGTGCTCAGGTAAGTATAAGGGGAGGCTGGGGGGGGGGGGGGGGGGGGATCACAGGCACAGAAGGTTTTTCACCTTAATGCATAGGATGCATAGAATTACAACCACTTTAACTGCAGTCGGCCACATGTATACTCATCATTTCTCTTAGAGTTCACTAGAGAACATAAAGTAATTAAAGTAACTCTCCTTTAATTCCAGCATGTAAAAGGAGATCATATATCCTTACCTTTCTGGTAGCTTGTGTCTGGGGCTCTGTGTTCCCCTAGCTGTTGCAGGTATTGCACATTCTAGGTATGTGAATATTATTATAATACAGGATTTATATAGCTCCAACAGTTTGCGCAGCGCTTTACAATATAAGGGAGACTGCACAATTACAGTACATTTCAGTACAAAAGGAATGTGATTACCTGCCTCTTCCATCACTTGCTAAATTGCTTCTCACCGAATCATATTATAGGACATACAAGTTGGGGGGTGGGGGTAGCAAGACACACCCAGAAGTGTTGAATACATGCAGCAGCAGGGAAACCACAAAGCACCAGTTTGAAGACATTGGTGCCAGAAGGGTAAGTAGGTAAAAATAGATGCTCTGCTACAGGCTGTCCCGTGCTTAGGTTATAAGTGACCCTGTGATGACAGGGTCACTGTGAAGTTATGCTGAGTGGACAACAGAAATCTCCGCACTAAAATACGGTAAAGTACAGCATTTCTTTCTTGAAATATGTTCCATCACAAATCCAATTTATTCTTCTTCTTGTATAAAAGACAGGGCTATATAAACTGTCCCTTCACTAGAGAAGGTAACACACGCATTAAGATGCACATGGGTATTGACATAGGTTTGATACAACATAGTCTTTCTGTATAGTTCAATAGAAGATTTGTGTTGATACCATCATATAAAGCTAAAATGTGTGGGGGGTTTTTTATTGATTCTATATACCTAAATTAAAGTACATGTAGTGATTATTGGTCACTACACCTGTGCAACAGCAGTCATGTCCGGCTGCCAGCTTCTAGTTTTGGCTACCTTCTAGTGCACCATGGCAGTCTTATAATTTGCTTTACAAAGGTTTTTATTGCTTTTGCACAGTAACCAAATACATTTCGGCTTTCATTGTTGTATGGAAGGTTTCTGATTTGCTACTATGAGCACCATGGAAATTGTTGCTTCAGATGCTTTGTTAAATCTGCAGTGGGAGAGATGGAAACAATGAGAACCAAGAGTGCTTTTTAAAAAAAAAGTGTGCTTATGCCAGAATCTGAATATTCATTTATAAATCATCATAAATGTGGAAGCCCACCATTTAAATCCCTACTGCAGGCTACCTTTAAATTTACCCAAGCAGGGGGTCCTCCTTCACACCCTGCACTGCCAGAATGTTGGCAGAACTTCGCCATCATCTCTTACACTGCAGGAATGCTGGGAAGGAATAAAGTAAATATTTCCACCTATTCCTTACCCCATAGCCAAATATGCATTTAACTCATGCAAGGGGGGGGGGGGGGGTTAACACTTGCACCCATTTCCATGTATCTCGGTTTAATTTGTTTAAGCATGAATTTCCATCCTAGGAATTTGAGGTTAGATGATATCTGGAGTATGTCATTTGCTGCTGTGCTGACTGCCTGAATATATGATGACAACGTACTGATTTCTGAGTTTGTGTGAAACATCATAACATAATAGAGCCTTTTCGTTAAGTGCAATGCCAACAAAAATGGGGGGAGGGAGGTGGTTGAGGGTGGGCATCTCACCTCTGACGTTTAGTTCAAAGAATAATCATACTTTGCAAAGAGCTAGACTTGCTGACTAAACAGCTGTTTGTTTTAAAAGTGGAAAATTCTATAAGGTATATTCATTCATTGATATATTTTTTTTTTTTTTTTAATTTACAGATGCCCTGTGTAAAGAAGTATGGAGTTAGGAAAGGGTAAGCTTCTGAGAAGTGGCCTCAATGCATTGTACCAAGCCATCCACCCAGTACATGGATTAGCTTGGACTGATGGCAAGCAAGTCATCCTAACAGCCTTACACCTACAAAATGATGACCCAAAGTTCGGAAGTTCTGTTGTCATTGGCCAGTTTGAGCATGTGCATGGCCTGTACTGGGGCCCCGCTCACACAAAGGACACTCCAGCTCTGCTGGCTGTTCAGCATAAGAAACATGTCACTGTATGGCAGCTGTATTATAACAATGTGGAAAAGAACAAGCTGGTGGTTTCTCAGACCTGTGAAGTTGGGGATCCCCTTCCTGTGCTTCCACAAGGCTGCATATGGCATCCAAGTAAAGACATTTTGGTCATATTAACCAAGAGAGATGTCTCGGTCTTATATTCTGTGCGCACTGACAATACAAGTGTTAAAGCTGACATCAAGAGCACTGGAGTTGTGCACTGTGCATGCTGGACTAAAGATGGAAGTCGTTTAGTTGTCGCCATTAGTAGCGCCCTTCATTCCTACATTTGGGACAGCAAACACAAATTGCTTAACCCTTGTACTTTTTGTCCCATCTTTGATGTTGGTGGGTACATTTGTGCTATCGAATCAACTGTCGATTCCCAGGTTGCAGTAGCCACAGAGCTTCCTCTGGATAGGATATGTGCATTAAATGCTGGTATTGCATTTGATGTACCAGCTGCTGCTGAAATTTCCTTTTCTGCTCAGCCTGGCCTTCTGCTCATGGATGAAGAGTTTTCTTTAGACGTTGGACGGAAGTCAACAGACTCTGGGACCTCTCTGTCCCTAGATTCCCCAGTCACTTCTCCAGGAACTGTTGACCTAACACATATCTTGGTCAACCATTCGAAATCTGAACTGAGTCCACTTCTTAACCTCAAACACAAGGACTACATAACAGGAAGTGGACAGGACTCCTCTCACCTTATCCTTGTGAACTTTGAGAAGAAAGTGACTTCTACACGGAAAGTAAGCATCCCTGGAATTCTGGTTCCAGATATCCTGGCCTTTGACCCTGGAGCTCATATTGTAGCTGTTGCCTCCAACACATGTAGCCATGTCCTTGTGTATTCATTAACTTCAACAAACATGCCTAACATACAGCAGATCCAGTTGGAGAAGAACGAGCGACCCAAAGGCTTGTATTTCCTAACGGATAAAATGTTGCTGGTGTTAGTCGGGAGGCAGAAAACTTGCGACCCGGCTTTTCTGCCATCTTCAAGTTCCGACAAGTACATCATCCGCTTAATGGTGAAGGAGGTAATGTTTGATGAAGACTCCTCCACATCATCAGTAGCAGATATAGCAAGTGCACATTCAAGCTACAACTCTTCTGTACTTTTACATGGGAAGAAGAAGTATGTGGATAGCTTATATAAGGATGAGCAGCCCCTTCCTTGCCGAGAGCTGTTGATTCCAGGAGGTACTTCTGGGCGCCAGGGCTTTAGTAAGAAACAACTGATAGAGGAGATTCGCAGTTATAACTATGACCAAAGTCCAACATCAAGCGCTAGCGACTTTGAGGATAAAAAGAACACTGTGACTGTGCACAACTTGGACACAGAGCCGAAAAATCGGTCTGTGACCCTGGGTTTGGAAGCGCACCGGAAGCCTTCAAGCAGGCCAACTTCACCGAAAATGGAGCGCAGAATAAACCATCATCCACCTAACAGCACTCCATTGTCCGATCAAGACATTCTGTACATGTCACGTAATCTAGAGCGCTTGTGCAGCAACGTTACCAATCTACAACAGCGCCTCTCAGATCTTACTGAGTTTGCACAGAATGGAAAAAAAATCCTATTTCTCGTATCCATCATCTAAAGACGCACCATTTGTCACCATAATATGCCAGGTAATGCCATAATGTAATCACTGTTTGGTATGTGAAACGGACTGCTTGAGTGTGTGATTGACTTTTACCTAATGAATGGATTACTTGATGGTGGAAAGTGAGGAAGTAGGCTTAAAAGGTCAAAGATTAACTACTATACTCCAGTAGTGAACCTCATAAATCCTATACAGTGTGAGGTGTTTTACTGACTCTATCATTGAAAGACAACATAATATCAAAGTACAGTTCCGTCAGACATAAAATTTAGGAAACCTTTTATATACTTGTTCCAATTTCGGTTTCAGTAATTTGATCTTATTTTATTAAATATGAATTGCAGGTATGGTATATTTTTACAGCTTGGACCATTGTAACTAAGTATATACCATACCTGGCCAATGCTCCCGAAAGTTGTAAATCACTGAAGTAGCCACATCTACTCCAGTGATCTCTGCTTGCTTCCAGGTCCCGTGCCTGTTGCATTGTGAACACAGGAGGTCATCCATTTGGCATGGGTGCCATTCAGAGAATACATTGCATTCTCTGATTGGATGAGGTAGATAACATGACATCACCGCCCCACCTCTTCAGATCGTCCAATCAGAGAACACTTTGTGTTCATTCAGAAGGCACAAGGCATTCTTTGAATTGCTCTTGTGCTGAGCGACCGACCTCCCTGTTTAGAGTGTAGCAGGCTAGCCACTAAACCCACTACCCAGAAGCAAGTGGAGGTCACTGGAGTAGCAGTGTTCACTTCATTGATTTCCATTTTCCAGGGACATCAGCCAGGTATGGAATATACATAGTTACAGTGGTCCAAGCTGGAACAATATAACTTTGTATAAAATATCCATACCTGCAATTGCTCTTTAAAGCTGAACTCCAGGCAAATATAAAAGACACATTGCAGTGGTGGAATAATTTAATAAATCATTGAATGCATTTTTTTTAAATGAACAAGTGAATACAATCAAAATATGACCTGGTTTCAGCTACTTGCAGTCACTTGTAAAACAGCTCAGGGGCAATACTGGGAGTCAGTCAGATATGCTGCGCTCACATGGAACATTATGATTGGAGGAAAGAGCAGTGTATGCAGAGAGGAGACCACATTGTTGCGCTGCTGCTCCTGTAATGTTCAGTCAGTATGCTGGGGTTGAGGGGATGACACATCTGTATGCATTACCTGTAGCAAAGAAAGTGGTGTCATCCACCTGACTGAGCTGCGTGGTAGGCAGTACTTTATATATGAAGAGAAGATCAAGAACTGAGGGGCATGACTTCAAACTATCTGGAATAGAGTTCTAATTAAATCATAGAAAGTAATATTTACCAAAAGAGTAGTGCATGTTTGGAACAGACGTCCAGCAGAGGTAGCAAGTTACTAAACCGTAAGTGAATTTAAAGGAAAAGTTCACCTTTGGAACATGTTACATGTTCCACCCGTAGTTAGGGTGGAACATGTAACATGTTCCCACTCCTGCACCCTCTTCCCGTGATCCATTCCTCCCTTTGACAGTAGATAGGGGATCTTCTCCCCGCACCCACAGTTTTTAAGAATTTGTTCCTTTTTTGTTGTAGCTAAGGAAGTGATCTTTTCCCATCTTGTACGCCAAAATACTGTCTCCCAAGCCAAGCAAAAACACAGTCTGAGTAATGCAATGATTACATTAGTGAAGATTTTTCTTATATCCCTTCAAATTCTGTACAACAAAGTAAAAACCTGGGACATTTTTAGGATGGCACGCAGGGATATAATTAAAGTCTAAAAGAAACTCAATACAGTGGGTTTTTTTTTTTTTTGTTTTTTTTTTGACCAGCTACAGAAACCACCTATATATTTGCACTTTACCCAATCTGGTCACAGATGGATCGAATTCAACTGGTTCAGCAGGACCGGCTAAATTTTACTCCATATATGGCCGCACCCGCTCTAGCAATGAACTTCTGTTTAATGGGACAACAAAATGTTTTGGGTCAGCAGCTGATCCATGCATTCTGACAAGGGAGAGTCTCTGCTGTCAGAATACAATGGGGTTGATTTACTAAAATTGAAAAGTGCAAAATCTGGTGCAGCTGTTCACGGTAGCCAATTAGCTGCTAACGTCAGCTTGTTCAATTAAGCTTTGACAATAAAACGTGGAAGCTGATTGGTTTCTATGCAGAGCTGCACCAAATTTTGCATTCTTTAGTTTTAGAAAATAAACCCCACTGCCTCTGTGGGGAGGATTCCTCTATCCCCCTCAATTTTGTGGATGGAAGAATCTGTCCCCTTTTTTTTATTTTTTCAGATGGCTACACTTCATCAGGAACAACAGGAAAGGGTTAGAAGACATCCATGCAATTCCATTGATCTCAATATAGTGCTCACAGTTGGTCTATAGTAAAATAAATACAAAAAATGAAAAAAACATTTGAATACCCCCTCCACATATCAGATGACAACAGGTCAGCGGTATCCCCTAATTACAAACACTTCACAAGTACTTATGGCATCATATGGTTTCATCAATCTAAAGCTACCCTCCTCTCCACAGGGGACTAGCTAGTGGGGGCCCTGATGAAGTGACGCTATCTGCGAAATGCCTAGACTGCTACCTGTGAAATGGGACACTCACTATAGTGCAATTAATCAAAAATAAGAAACACTAAATTGAGCATTGTGTGATTATTTATTTTAACTTTTGTATGAATTGATTAACATCTGCAGGGATGTACAAATCATATCACGCGGCACCAAGAACATGCAGTTCCAGGCGTCTGGCAGATTTTTTTTCTTTACATTTAGCCCTGCTAAAGCAGCAGGGTTTGCTTTTCAAGTGGTTATACCAGGATGATGCCCACAGCTGCATGATACTGCTTTTTAGAGCTGACAGTCAGCTCCCTTGTAAAAGGCAATTTTAGTGGCTAACTAGCTGCTGGATTGCGTTTAAACGCCCCCGCCCCCCAACACCTTCTGTGGCTTTAACAGGCTATCCCGTCCCACCGGGGAACCCCATCAACCAGCTGGTGCTTCCACTTGTTGATCATAGAGGTGGACAAACTCTGTGCGCCTCTTATATAGGGAACCGAAAACAATTACCTTACATCACTTCACTTCTGGTTTACCCAAATGTAAACTGCGCCATTTTTAAAAATGGAAAGCATTTGATCACACTGATGTTGGTGTGATCAAATGCTTTTAAGGGCAGAAGAGGGATTATTATTATACAGGATTTATATAGTGCCAACAGTTTGCGCAGCACTTTACAAGTCTTATAGACCCCAGGTCTCTCCATAACGAATACCTGTCACATGCCGATTGCTGTCACAAGGGATGGTATGTTTACATTCCTTGTGACAGCAATAAAAGTTATCAAAAGAAAAAAAAAATTTTTTAAAGTGACAGTATAAAAATAATAATAAATAAAAAAAGTAAAGTGCACTTTACTTTTGCTGCAGCCCGCAAAATGGCACTATTGTGAACCGAGCCTTCAAAATATTAAGGGGTCATTCACACCGTACGTGCCTAGAAAATGATGGAAACTGACACGCAGATTTCACTTGCAGAGACATCAGTTTACAGCAGTACTCATGAATGCTTCAATGAGTAATACAAGTTGCAGATTCCTGCACAGAATAAATCGTCATGTGACACTAGTGTTGTGGTGTGTACAGGGCACATAGGGAACAATTGATTTTGTTGTGCCCTTGGTGCAGAAAAACTGACGTCTCTGCACCATGGTGTGAACGACCCCTAAATGTTTGCCATAAAGCCCCTATTGTTTTTTGAAAGCTCCAGACTTTCCTAACAGTACCTCTACCTAAATAAAAAAAAATCAACCCTTCCTGCTATCAATAAAGACCTTATTTAAATACGGTTTTGCTTAATTTTATTGTTTATAAGGACAAGTAGATTGGGGCCAAGATTTAGTCCCTTGGACAAGTAGTTTAAAAAAAAAAAAGCCTACCATACCCCTGATTTGGAAATTTTATGTACCTTTTTATTTGATTCTATATTTCTGGATGCCATTCTAGAAGGTCTCTTTATTTTGTTGGTTTGGGATGATGGCACTCTAGGTACTTTGCCTCCCTCCTCTCTCTCTTTTCAATCTCTTCATATTCTCAGCAGATTTAGGGCCAGCCATTTGATGTCATAGGACAGTGTTCAAAGATCACAGTCTAACAATCCATGTTCTCTTTGGGACAGATACATGTCATCCATGTATACGTGTATCTGATCCCATCAGGGCCCGACTTCTTTGGATAACTGTAACCATTAGAATAGAAACTTATATGGCCACCTTTGGCTTTTAGATTATGAAGAAACCCATACAGATCACTATTGTGGCTAAGCAAATAAAATCGGCGGTACTAGGTGGTGTGTTGTCTCTGAGTAACGTGTGTTACCTGATCTGGGAGGTGCAGACATGGTTCAGAAGAGGTTACAGCTGATTCAGAAGGAGAGGCTCCAAGATTAACACCTAACAAGATTAGCTGAGGCTGCCGTGTTACTACCATCACATGTTCGCTGGCAAACACAAAGACGTTCTCTTGATCACATGTTCAAGATTGCTTTAGTAAAAGACTTGCGATGAGTTCTGTTTACACGATTCCCTGAAGTACAAAACATATTTCATGCCTGGGATGTATTAAAATGACCTTGGAGAAGAAAGCGGTGACGGTTACCAAGCAACCAGCAGGGTTAGATAACTGACAACTTAAGCTGTCCGCACGTGCCATTTACCTTCATATGTCCCTTCAGCTTTGCCTGAGGCACCCTAGAAGTTAATATGCAAAGAGCGAAATGCGCCGTGATAGTCCATGTGACAATGCCCACGCCTGCCGGGTAGAATACATTGCACAGTGGGTTGGAAACGGGGGCAGTCTTGTCTTTCACTACAAAAAATGTGAGAAAACAGTGGACAGTCTTTCAAGTGGCAGAGGGGAGACAAATGTGAAAGTGCTATGTCTTGACGCAATGGCTAGACAAATCCCAGCATCCATGGTTACCATGGTAAATGTTAACTGTGCCCTGTTGT